GGTAGATAGTAGTTGATACTTAGAAATGTGTCAAAAAATACTAAAAACCTAATAGTTGAAAGAAAATGATTGAGCAAGAAATGTCTCAAAACAAAAACGTTTGTTAGGCTTGAGCTTAATTTTTGCCAAAAACTTTTGTTTTGTTTCATCCCATAAAAATGTTTGAAAATAGATGAGCCAAGTTAGCCCTAGATTTCTAACACTTTAGCTAAACCAAAAGGTACTAAAAATGATAAAGCTAAAAATGAAAAAAAATATCTCAAATGTGCATAATAAGTTACAGAAAGAGCTAAAAGTTAGCAAAAAGCTACATATTGGATATGGTTAATTATAAAAAACATTTTAGCAGAGGGAAATGTTAAAAAAGTTAAAAATATTGATAACTCATGGTCACTCAAAAATAGATAAAAGTTAGCCAGAAACTATAGCATTCATCGCTAATCGTAGTCATAGAAAATTAACTTTTGCCTAAAAGTAACTAAAGATTTAGCCACAGATAGAATAAAGCTTTTCTAAATGAAGTCACAGAATAATAATCATTGGCGTGAGTTTGAAAGTTGACCTTAAAAGTGCTTGAATTTGACCTGGGACATGTGTTCAGAATAATGGTATCTGTGTATGCAGATGACACCACGCGTTACACCAAACATGAGACGGACACAGTGGGTTTAGTATAAATATTTAAAATACTTTATACAGCATAGAAATCTCTCAACACTCAAAAAAACAAACCGTCCGATACAAAAATCTTATAAAAGACGCCCCAGAGTCTGTATTAATCTCAGAAAAAAACCAACCCATACAAAGACAAACTTATTCAAATGTTGACAATACGGGTCGACTGGAGAAACATTGCATGCAACTTCTTCTTCTTTTCTTTTTTTATTTCGGTTCAGACACAAAACGAGAGATTTTACAGTGTCCCCAACAGTGATTAAGCCTTTTGTGCCTGTGAAAGATTTTGCTCTTACTGTTGTTGTGAGTCAAACGTTGATACGCAGTAAGATTTGGGAATGTTTACGAAAAGCTCTTCCCTTCCTCCCCCTCCCTTTGAAAGAACCCCTTGAAAAGTGACAGGAACACCGGAGTGTACTATTTATTTACAAGCACAGATTTTCACGAAACCCTCGGAGAGCTCTTGGCAAATACTCGTCGTCGAGGTCAACACTTAAGACTATTGCACACACTACAGCGTTATTTAAGACAAACAGGAAGAGAATTATGCTCATGGACTGTAGATCGATCCCAGTGTTCTTCCCACCTTGGTAGCCTCAGCCTTTGGCGAGGTTGGTCAGTTTCATAAGGCCTTTGATGCTTTCAATTTTTTTTTTTTTAAATTGACTGTTTTTTTGTTTTGTTTTTTTATCCAAAAACTGCCCGTAAATAAACACATCCATCTCGGAGAAAGTCGTAACAAAGACTTTTTTTTTTAACATTTCTGCCGTAGGTCCTTGAAGCAACGATGTGAGAGCAGTGCGTATAAAAAAAGCTTTACGCCGTGATTTATTCACCCACAGTTAATGCGCGTGCTATAAAAAGTGAGAGCATGGCTCTACTCCCGTGTAACAACTGCTACTACTGCTACTCCAGCGCGTCGATCCTACAATGGCACTAACGCTGTGACGGGCGTGTCACAATCAGGTGCTGTTCAACTACCATGTATGAATAATGCATTGAGGTAAGAGATGGTAAAAACACCGTCGTTAGTACAGGTTTTTTTGGTTTTTCAAGAATAGTGCAGTGAGTTCTTTTTTTTTTTTTAAATCCAGTTCATCTGGACGTCCATAAGGTTTCTATGTATCTTTTGTTGTTTGTTTTTTTCCCCCACAAAGACAAAACATTTACACATGTATTCAGGGTCAGGGTAAGCGTTGGGATCCGTTAGCTGGTGTGAATCAGTCTGCGGCTCAGTTAGTAAACAGTTCACAGCAATAATAGTACATAAATGAGTCTTTTCTTGACTCGGTCTATAATACAGAGTTAAGTGTGTGTGTGTGTGTGTGTGTTTCTGTACACCTGTCTGGCATGAGTCCATGTTACAGGACGTCCAGTGTCCTCTCTGGGTCTGGGCCTGTGCCAGGTTTCATTGCTCTGGGATTGCTTTCAAGTCTCATCCTCTTAGTGTCATCACCTCCTATATTACATAACGGCAGCGGGAACGAGAGGTAAAATACTACGTGCTCTCACTTAAACCACCATTTATTTTCTTTGAAAAAAAAAAAAAGTGTCCTAGTCGTGATAAAGGGAGAGTTCACAGTTCAAAAAGGCCGCTTTGGAAGACCTCTCCAACAGCTATCAAATGTTGGGCGGGGCCTTGAGTTCTTTTTTTTTTTTTGTCTCTTTTTCTTATTCTTTGCATCCTTCAGCAGAGCGTCTTGAGTGCACCCGAAGCACAGAGGAGAGTCTGCATGGGGTAAGGAGGAGGTGACACCACCTCCTCCACAACCTGTTCGGGCCGGAAGGCGAACGGCTGCAGCTGGACCTTCTTCTTAAGCAGCTGTCCGATTCCCATGGAGGGGAATTTGCTGCGGTGCGTGGGGCTCTCGGGGTCGCTGCTGTTACTGTCCTTGTTGCTGTTGGAGAGCGGGCTAAAAGCCGACTTGGGGTTCAGGGGACTAAAGGCGGATTTTGGAGGGCTGAAAGCCGAGGTGCCCGGGGGGCTCCCCACGGTGCTGGGGGGACTGCCGCTCGTGTCGGAACCGCCGCACCAGTCTGACGAAAGGTTCTTAGACTTTGGGTTGGAGATTTGCACGGGAGGACTGGGGATTGTGGCTTTTTTCAAGTAAGAAGAGTCGGGTTGGAAGGCAGAGACGTGGCGAGGGGGTGACAGAGTACCGTTGATCAGTTTGTACCAGGGTGTAGCGGGGGTGTCCTCCATCTGCTCAGCTTTAGACAGAGAGCCGAAGGAATGCATGCCAATGGGTGACGGCGCCGGCGGGGCGGGGATGTTGTGTTCCGGACTGGTATTGGCTGGCGGGAGTGTGGCCAGTCTCCTCCGCTGATGAGGGGTGGTGGGGGAGAGATCGTGGATCTCCAGATACTCCATGGAAGAGGAGGCAACTGTGCCAGGTGGTGCAAGAGGGGAGTTACGATGGCCGCCAGTTATGGCACGCAAAAGACCTGAGGAAGAGAAAAAAAGTTGTTAGTTTGATCTGCTCCAACAAACGCAGAAATTCAAATGTATTTCTTTACGGATAAGGATGAAGCTTTTGACCACTTTGCCAAATATTCCAGAACTTTATAAATTGATTGGTAAAAAAAAATTCTAATTAAAGCTGCTCACATTATTGTACTTACATCTGTAAGAAACTGAGACACAAAACTTAAAAAAACAAAACAAAAAGAAAAACAGTGTTTTGTCCTGAACATGTCCATGAAGAGTCTTCACAGATGGATGAGGGGTAGGAAGGAGGGAGGGATGGACTGATGGATGATGGGATACTACATGTGTCAAACAGGTCGATGGTGTATAAGAACATGCATGCTCAGTCAACCTACCCTGTACAAAACAAGGTGAAAGAAATACTTAAAAAACACAACATCTACTGACGGTGGTCGTGTATTTTCGACATTGACTTCCTAACGACCCCTCACCTGTTCTGTGCTTCTTCTTCTCACTGGGCTTGCTGACAGCCAGGTAGGCCGGGGTCTGTTTGGGCGGGATGGTGAGTTTGTCCACGTGCTTCCTCCACTGGGTCTGGTAGTATTCGTTTTTCTGCTTGTCGCCTTTCTTCTTCTTCTCCTGGATCTGCATTTCCTGCACAAACAAGGCCAGAACCAAAGTTTTACAACGATCCTCGGCTTCTACGAAACCTGTTCTTGTGACAACAGACTTTTATCTGCTTGTCAACGTCAGGCTGTCGTAAACCCCAGTCCAGGTACAATTATGTCCCTCCTCCCACTCCTCCTCACCCGGTATTCTTTGGAAAGTCTCTTCATTTTCTTGTTGAGCAGAAAGTAAACAGCCAGGGTGTGGCAGGCACGGTTGGTCAGCACGGCGCTCAGAACCTCACTGTGCTTGTAGCCCATTTTCTCCGTCATGTGCAGCAACACCGTGTGGTTAATTTCCTCGATGTGTATCCTGAAACGAGATTCTTGTTAGAAACAGGATGTCGAAGATCAAAGGATTTTTTTTAATTCCGTATTTGTCTACATCGGGGTGTTAAACATATGGCCCACGGGCCAAAATCGGCCCGCTATGGGTTTGAATCCGACCCGCTTGATGTATTTTTAAAGTATACATTTCATATCCATGATTTTTATTTTTTCAAATATTTCATTAAAATGAGTATTTTCTAATATAATTTTACTTCTTTGCATGAAAACAAAGAGGAAAAACATGGACTTATTGTTATTTACAGGTTCTTATGTTGTCATTGTACTGGTCCGACCCACTTGACCTCTACGACCCCGGCGGCCACTGTTATATAAAACTCATACCAGGCTAAACCAGTGGCACTCGGTCCTACCTGTTGAGGTACGGCGCCCCTGTGTTCTTATTGGCCAGCTGGAGCCAGGAGTCTGCCATCACCTGGTGGATGTTGGGACGTTTGTTGGGATCTGGCTCGAGCAGCTTCTTCAGTAGACAGATGGCAGCTGAGAGGAGAAAAACAAAAACAAAAAAACACAGGAGTTAAATATGGACGTTTATACAAAAACAATTCATCCACAACATAAACAAAAATAAATACAATTAGAACTGGCACCCACTGCGCTTCAGCTCAATTACTGCATGACGCGTCCTGTCGTTAGCCTCATTTAGAGCTATTAAAGAATTAGGTTAAGGTGTTTCGCAATTTGGGCTGGCTTTGTTGTGACACGCAGAGTCACTATGTATTTCCAGAGAAGTGAGTCACGGCCTGGATTTCCGCCTCGAAGATATCAGCTGGATCATATAAAAACAAACACCTGGCAGATTTACTATTCACGTCTTCTTCCATGGAAAGGTCAGAAAGCCAGTTCGGTTCAAGGTTTGTTTGTTTTTAATTCTCTAATTCCTTCGAACGATTAAGTGACGTAAATCTTCTTTAGTTAGTTAGTTCCTTCGAACGATTAAGTGACGTAAATAAATTCCACAATAATAATAGATTGGGCTTCTCAGTAACTAGATTAACTCAGGAGTAAATACAGGACTTTGAGCGACAGGACTAACTCACTTTTATCTGTTACACCTTGTCATTACACTGACGTGCCAGGAAACGCAGTCAGTATTTACGGTTTGTTAGATTTATAGGTACTGTATACTCTACAGCTGCACACAGTGTTTGTGTACAGCTGTAAAGTATAGAGTATAGAGTACAGAGTACAATACCGGTTTATTGTTTACCTGTGGAAAGCGACGGAGGTAGAGGGTTCATCTCCTTGTCTACCATCTTCTGGTGCAGGGCCCGGAGGCTGAAGGGCTCCACGGTGAACGGCAGCGTCCCAGTCAACATTGCATACATGTTCACACCACTGGGAAAAACAAAACAAAAAAATTAAAAATATTTAGTGAGTTAAGGAAGACACGTTAAAATATTCAAAATATTAATTTGACGAGTAGACTGGACACAGGGGAATCTAAGAAAAACATTTTTTTAACTACTTTTCTTTGTCTGATTTACTCACAACTCACAATTACTGCAAATTAACTGCGTGTTTATTTTATATTTGTCATTGGTTTTGCAAATATAAAAGTCAGATTTCCTTATTCTCCAGGATCAACCTCATATATATATAATTTAATAACTTTGATATTATCATTGGGTACGTGTTGTTTTGGACGCAGTCGATGTGGAAAGTTGTGAAAAGAGTCGAGCTGCGATGGTGGCTCAGTTCATGTTAAGAACTTAACCCTAAATTTTATTGACAGCCTCCTAGCTGTAGATCGTTGTCACTGCATTCGCCAAGATGGACGACGGTGGGATGAAAACTCACATGGACCACACGTCCACCTTGGGCCCGTACTTCTTCCTGGACAACAGCTCCGGAGCGGCGTACGCCGGACTTCCACACTGGGTGCTGAAGGGGTCGGAGTATCCCAGGATCCCGGCGCAGTTGCTCAGGCCGAAGTCTGCAGGACAGAAGGGGAGGGAGGGGAGTTGATTTACGGTTCTGGGTTTATTAACAGTCTCTGGCTCGCACAAACAGAAGTAGATTAGCAGTGTGTTGAGAAACACTAAGGGCTTTAACGCATTCTTAATTGCCCTCAGAGAGATGAAGGAGGGGGGCAACTCTTCACACTGGGCCGTGAGGTCACTCAACTTCTGTCTGCACTGAGCAGAGACACAGTGAAGGTCAGGACTGTGGGTTTTTTTTTTTTACCTATCAGCTTTATGTTGTCCTCTTGGTCCAGCAGCAGGTTTTCTATCTTCAGGTCCCTGTGAGACAAAGAGTGACACACATCAACACCTGCTTCACACTGACTCTGTGTCTAAGATGTTTTCATAAAAGGCATCCACAGCAGAGGTCTGCCGGGACCCCTCCCCTCCCCACACCCACACACACGTGTCACCCTCCCAGTATGGGTCACAATGTCTGACTTCCAGAGTCCATTGTGTTCCTGCAGATCCCTGTTCACTCTGAGAAATCCTATTTCACAGTTATCAGTGAGGTCCATCACACTGGGATATAAAAATATATATAAAAAAGAGTTCCCACTTTAAGCTTTTAAAAAACAGGGAGGGGCTCTGGGAAATTATTAGTTTTTTGTCCAGGTCGTTTAATCCAAAAATAGTTACATCAACGGCAACTGGACGAAGTAGGTTTTTTCCGAAGGTTTCTTGAAGACGTTTCACCTCTCATCCAAGAGGTCAGACCTGAAGAAGCCTCTTGGATGAGAGGTGAAAACGTCTTCAAAAACATCTTCAAAATTATTAAATAATATAAATATTAAAAGACTATTTTTTGGATAAGAGTTTGAGTTTTTTAGTTCAGATTGAGGGCAGAGAAATCTGTGGATCAACAATAATGTTCACAACCAGGACTTGGCCCACACTTCTAAGAAAAGAGGATCAAGTCTGAGTCCAGAGATCTGAGCGTCTGCAGCCCATGAACGACTCAAACCCCTGGAAGCTTCAGATCAGATGGTGTTTTCCGATCCCCAAACTGCTCAGCTCTCTTCTCGTCCTTACCTGTGCACCACCCCGGCCCTGTGCAGATGCTCCACGGCCAGCACCAGCTGCCTGATGTATTTCTGCGTCTCCCTCTCGTCCAGACGCTTCTTGTCGTAGATGCGGTTCATGAGGTTCCCGCCGGGACACAGCTCCATCACCAGGTAGTAGCTGTTCTCCGTCTCCAGGATGTCCAGCAGCTGCGTGATGTTGGGGTGTCGGATCATCTGCTGGATGTGACCCTCCCGGCGCAGGTTCTTGGTCACGTAGGAGTCCTTCTTGGCCTTCCGCTTGTCAATCACCTTGACTGCCACCTAGAGGGTGAGAGGTGAAGTTAGCAGCTGATGTTTCAGTGTAACAGGTGACGGGGCGGGGGGGTGACAGCGGCCTCTAGAACTCAACACTGACCTCGGCCTCACAGCTGCTGCCAATGTGGGGCAAACAAGTGCTATATAGGGGTCTTTAGGGGGAGGTGTGTGTGTGTGTGTGTGTGTGTGTGTGTGTTGGAGAAGTCACTCAGCCATCATAAACTCGGGTGGAAAACCAAATGTTACCCTCTCTGTTAGGAAGGCGCCGAGGCCAAATGGACAGTCAATACAGCCTCCCATTTGTCACAGAGTTAAACACACACACACACACACACACACACACACACACAGCCTCCAGTGACACATGTGGAATCACAAGTGAGGAGGAGCGGCTGAAGAGTCTGCTCCCTCCTCTGAAACTCATTTAATAAAGTTAAAATAAAAAAAAAAATAAACCACCCACAACAGATTTCCAATCCCATTGTCCTTTGTCTGTGTTTGTTTTTTGTCCTTGTCGCCGTCCGACCTCATAAAACACCACAGACATGTCTGTCCTCCACTGAATGACAAAAGCACTCTGCGTCTCCTGTCCGTCGCTAATTAAATTCCGTAACGTATTCCATTTGGCTTTTTTTTTTTTCTACCCATGTCTCCTTGTGTCCCGTCTAGACTTGGGTTCAAGAGCGATGCCACCGCGCGCAGCAAATCATCTGAAGGAGAGCGGGCGCGCGGACACGGAGGGAAAAGGCGCTGGAACTAATCACCATATCCATTAAATGAAATAGTGATGTCCAAAGTGGCCGCCGGCGTCCTGTCCTTCCTGTCCGTCCCGCCCGTCCTTCAGCTCCTGGTCCTCGTGCTTTTCATCTCTGATGATGCACTCACCTTTTTACAGCTGCTCATTAAACCTGTGTGTGTGTGTGTTTAAGTGAGTGTGTGTGTGTGCTAATGGACAAACCACCATACAGTAGTGTGGGCCCTGAGCCTTGTTTACACCCAGCAGCGTGCATGTCAGAGGGGTGAGGGG